CCTAGGGTGTAATTGATATATTGTGGTTATTAATGGAAGGTTAGGGCTATATATAGCTTGTTGCTTTATATAGCCCTATACTGATTAGAAGTTTATGGACCAAAATATCAGCAAAGGATCTTGGAATTTTAATATTCTTATTGTGCGTGTGCAATACTCAAAGTAAATATCTAGCTAGTTAGGCTATTTTTATATTATCATTTTCATTCAGATTTAAAAAGTTATAACCAATTAAGGTTGCTAATTAAATTGACCACATGTGTGTTTAAAGGTATTTTTAATCAAGTCAAGTCTCATGATGTGTTTGAAGCATATTATATGCCAATTTAGGTGTACTTTATATTTAATTGTAATTCCTAAGCAATTACCCAAAATTCTTAAGGGCAAAGGACATACTCCTATGAAATCACATCAAGTAATAGAGCTTTGTCAAACTTTTTGTTTTTTAAAATCCTAATTATATCCGTTTATTTGACACATATATAGCTTTAAGTATCACACAAATATAGATATAAAAATCTTCCATGCACTGAAAGAATTTGGATTTTATATTAATATCAATATTAATATTTCTAATTTACAATGAACTGATCACAATTTAGAGATATGGGATTTGTTTTTGGGAATCACTCAAATTAAATCCTAACGAATCAGATCAATAGAATAGAATACAATCAAAATTTTGCAAGAAAAAAATTAAGGTCAAACAAAACAAAATAGACAGTATTGTTTATCATATTTGTATAGCTATTTTGAAGGCACCATTACTAGTATCCAGCTCTTTAGAGTCCATTAACCTCAAATTGCTCAACCCTGCCCTGAGGTTGAATTCTGTAAAAAGTCAAAGTCAATAGCAAAAATTCTGCATAGGTGGGATTTGGCTTTAATGCCATATGATACAACTGAACGATATATATGATTAGACTAATAACTATGTGTTAAAGCTTCTATATAAATTTAGTGCCTTTTATTATTAATTATCAGAATCCAATGTAACATTACGTCTAGAGATGCCAGATGAACAGGTATTTCAAACATCTACTAATATTATATTCGATCATTAATGAATTGTGATTAGTGCTTAATTAAGTATCCAAATTAGACTTGAAATTTGAGTTTGACATATTTGGATTTAGCATTCAAGATTTTGACATCTTTTCACATATTAGTGAGTGGAGAAAGTACTCATCATTAGTCAATATAAGTTATCCCTTGTTCCTAATCACTTTGCTTTTAACTTTCTCATATGCTTGTCTTCTTCATTAATTTCTTTTTTAATTTTAATTTTAACTCAAAATCATGTTGTCTGCATCATTAGTTGGTGCTTTTATGAAATGACTAGAGAAAAAGGAAATGCACAGTAAATATAAAAAAATAAAATAAATGAAAATATTAAAAAATACTATTAATAAGTTATAACTTGTATGTCTCATCTTATGTTCTGTATACAAATATATAAAAACCCCCTTAGTCCCCCCCCCTTTTTGCCCTTAGTTAAAGATAAACGCAAAGTGAAAGTTATGAAGTTCAAATGCAATGCAATAAGAGAACCTTATGATTAAGTTGCCTCTCAAGCATGATAGATATATGAATTAGTGCTTTAGGTAAAGGTCTTTTTCTTATAATCTAGTCAAATATTATTCGGAAATTTTTTTACAAATACATACGAACTAATCTAAAGAACGAGATAAAGCAAACCAAAAGGAATGTACTGAGACATGCCATATAAAAATATGGGGAAAAGATATAGTGCTTTTCTAATTTTTCAGTCATTAAACTATAACATGAGAATTGAGTTCTAAGCAGCCTAAAATATCATAATTGATTAAAATTCTTTTATGTTATGCTGTTAGTAATTAATAATTAATTGATATCATAATAAATTCTTAAATTAAGCTAATTAAAAAAAATATGATCCAGAAGCAAAGGGCAAGCATAATTGGCAAAATATTCAGGTTCTACCATATACACTTTTTGTGGGGGGGGGGGGGAAGCACTTAATTGGTCTTGTCCTGAAAGATCATGGTAGCTAGCAATGCATTAAAAAGCTAATAAACTCGTTAACGCTTTCCTACTTTGCTTCATACTGTACATATCTGCCCCTTAAAAATACCAATATAACTTATCAATTTTATCAAAATCAAATTAGACGCCATTTAGCGATTCACACTTTGGTAATAGTGGTGCTAGTAATTTATTTCTCTGATTCTGTACAGATATTGTTGATTTAGCATACAAATAATCAAGTTCCTTTATGGCGGGACTTTTACTTGATACCAATATACTATAAGCAAAATAGATTTAGCAGTTATTTCCCTCTAAGAGAACTTCATGTGCATTAACTTGGATTTAAATTCTGAATACATGAATTCACCATATAAGTATACATCTTATGCATTGAACTCATAATTAGGAACTTGACTATGTCTTCTTAATTCTTACTCTAACGTGTGAATATTCCCGACAAATTCTAGAAGAATTGACTATGAGAAATAATTGAAAATATGCCATATCACTTTGAAATATGCCTCTCAACTTGCAAAGCGTCTCTAGTTTTTCCATGATACAAGTTTCAGCTTAACCAGATGGTGGTTTTTTAGTATTAGAATTGAGTAATATCCAAATGCAGATACGTAGGCTTTTTAAAACTTATGTAATCATAACAGTAATTACACATTATGTATTGAAATAGAAAAAGAAAAGAAAAGAGATTGTGAATATATAAAGAGAAATATGATGTGATGATAGTTACACTTTTTGTGCTCTTTCCTCTTTAAATTCATGATTACATTGTTATAAAGGATTCAATTTGGCAATTCTACTTATTACATTGTTCCCCTTCTCATTTGTTGGTTGGACTTGTGCCAATTCATTTTTCCTAGCGAGAGCTGCCTCAAGCTTGTTATGATGTTGATGGTTGAGCATGCCTGTTACCTGAAATATCAGTTTGGTCTCCAAAGATATTATCTCAATATTCATTTTTTCTGTCCTTCTATTAATAACAAAATGGGTTTCAAAATTTATATTAATAGTGCTGAAGAAGCCATTAAAAATATAATGGCATTTGAAGGATCAAAATAAGGTACCAATCTAGTGTTACATCTATTATTTAGTGTTCTTCATAATCTCAAAATTAAATAATCTATATTTGTGGATCATATTCACACAATTTCAAAAGAGTGATACAAGAGCGAATGCAGTTTTATGTGGAATTCACATTTTACTTTTACACACAATTTAATTTTCCTCCATCTCTCTAATGCTTATATATATTTATTTCTATGAGTATAAGGAATTCATATGGCATAATCTCGCGCATTTTACCACATCAATTTGCCTAATGAAAATCAAATCTCAATAGCAATTTGTTTTAGATGATTCATTTGATTCTATTATATATTACATTTACTTTGTATTTGAAAATTCCCTTATGAAAATTGAAGGAAAAAGAAGTGAGATGCAATGTACATAATAGAAGTGAAATTTTAATTTTTGACATTTTCTTTAATTTAGATTATATTTAAGTCTGATACCTTTTCTTTGCAGATTTGCTTGAATCAGCAAGAGTACAGCAACATAGATGTTCATTAAAAAATCAAAATTTTTCATTTCTCCCCCAGTTCTGATCAATATTAGGCATACTAAGAGACAATAGTGTAATGCTGCAGGTGCCAGGTAGCTTGATGGAAGAAAGATATATCTGTTATAGCTTTGTTTTACTTGTTATTGAATATATATATACACAGACACATATAAATGGACAGATCAATGTTCTGCAAGTTCTTGAATCAAACCTCTCTGTCTCTCTCCCTCTCTCTCACACACACATTAGTGATCTGTTAATCAAATGAAATTTTCAAGTCACATTGAGAGTCATGGAATATAATCCTGAATTCTGAACTCAGAAGTATAACCTCTCTTATATACCAAAGTACAGCACACACACAGATATATATATATATATAGGTTAATGAGGGGGGCCTTCCACTTGAAGAGTTAAGAAAGCCCACAGATCAGTCCATCAAACTTCTCATAAATTAATCATGAGTTTTTGAAACTGAGGTCTTTACAGAGATGTTTAAACTCAGCTCACGAAAAAGTATCATATATGTATTTTTATTTAGACATCCTCAGAGAAGGATTATAAAGAAAAAGAAACTGATCTAGTATAGGATTTTACTGACATGCAATATATTATTTGTATACAAGACAAGAATATATCCTTCTTTAAACCAGAAGAATAAAGTTCTGTATAGTAAGTCTGTAAGCTCTTCTGAACAAAGACCTCTGTGCAGAGAAATAAACATGATCCACATAATTCTTAAGCTTCAAAGATGGAAAGTAGTTAGAGCTTTTGTCAATAGTTCCAGGGAATAATCATCTGCTATTCTTACAATGTTAATGTCCAGATTTGGAGATAGTTGATAATTTGGTCTTCCTATGAAGCAGAAGCAGCAAGAATTCATGCATGCTCATTAGAAAGCTGAAATTGCAAATATATAAAAATTCCTTGACACGTGCTTAATTAATTTTAAAGGTATAAGATGCAATAAATGCAAGAGTGAATGTCAGGACCTGTATGAGTACACATTAGTGCAAAGTTTCACTGAATCTTCAATTTTTCTATGCATAAAGTAATTGAAATAACTGATCATGAGGTTGTTTAAGATAATCAAATTTTCTTTACAGAGCCACAATAATAAGAATCAGAATAACTTAAGCAGCTGACATTGTTTGAAACAGGAAAATGCAGATAACTTGATCTTGGAGCTTGCTGTGTGAAATTTTTTATGCGGTTTGCTAGCTCCTGTTCTTCCCTCTGTTTGAGTTTTATTGGTCTTTAGCACCCTTTTACCAGAATTAATTGGCAGATTTCTCTGATCCATGCTTGCTTTAAAGTATAAGTTTAGAAAAAATTTGCAGAAAGGAGATGAAAGTTCTAGCGTAATCTTCTGAACCTTCTTTTCTTGCATTCAAGGTACATTACTGCTCAATATATATATATATATTTGCAACCATGGAATATATAGGTCCCGTGTACTGTGGAACATTAACCAAATAATTATATATATATATAGACTAAAAGCTGCTAGAGGGACAGTTCCTGATATACACTAGTTGGCATATTATATAATGTGAACCACACTTCAAATACTGGTCAGAAATAATACACGCAGCAACCTTGTACGTCAACTGTCATATGCCATAGGCTGATCATCATCAGGAGAAAAATCAGTACAAAGAAGGACTACAAAAATTAAAATTAATTGTAGAAAGGGAATAATTATATGGGACAGAAAAGTTACTGGTAGAGATCATAACACAAAAAAGAAGCTAGCTAGAACGCCTTCTTCATTCTGTGGCAAAGAGAATTCATAGTTCTTCTGATCATCATGAGATTGAAAATATATCATACTATTGTTGACGCTGATTGTTGCACTCTTCCCAAGACTTCCCATAAATTTGAAGATCTGCATGAGAAAAAAGAGAAACAAATTAGGGATCCCAGTCAATTCTAAATAACATCAAGGTCACAGGTGACGAAATACTTAATTAATTAAGATTCATTAGTACTTAAACCACCTCACGACCCAAGAAATTAAGCTTAGCAGTACAGTAGAGTCTGCAAGGCCGAAGAAGTCAAGCCAAAATAATCAATAAAAAAATTACAAATTTCAGCTCAATAATACAGGTCGAAGGATCCAACCTTCAATATAATCCTCAGTTTCTGTGAAAATTAACCGAATAGAAAAACCAAAATTGCTCGTGAAATTGAAAATACCTGTGGACATATTCATATTGGCTATAGCACAGAAATTGGGGCGCCCATTAGTGTCCCAATTCGGAGTCAGATTAGGGAATATGGAGTAGTCATGGCTAGTAGTAGCAGCATTAATGAGAGAGTTGTTGTTGGTGAAACCTGCTTCCTTGTGATTAGGGATCACAAGGTGGTTTTGGGGATGATTCGAATTCATCAGATTAGAAGGCTGCTTTATCTTCCTTTTGATCACAGTACACCCTTCAATTTCCATATTAGGCTCTTCTCTTCTTGTTCCTTCACTGGTATCAGTACCACAAACCACCATTAAGCTCTTTCCTTTGTGATTAGCCCTTTCCCTCGCCCTCGCCCTCGCCTTCTCCCTCGACTCCTTCTTCGCCTTCTCCGTATCTGACCTCCTCGGCTTGCCGGAATCCGAATCCACCCTCTGTGGTGATACCACTTCTTCGCAGTCAGAGGAGGAAGAGAAGCTCTTGTTGGTGTTGGTTTTGCTGTTACTGTTGCTTTTCTTCTTGCTTCGAGCTGCGACTTCAAGCTCTTGAATGGCTTTCTTGGACTTGGAGAAGAGCCAGTCGAGAGTGTTGCTGGCTTTGTCGAACCCTAACATGTCTTGCAGATCGAAGAACTTGCGAGCGATCTCAATGGACAATCTCACTCGTCGGTCTCTGAGGCCCTGAGATGTGCAAATCTTGCTGTGCCTATCCTTCTTGGAAGGAGGCTTCTTGGCGATGAAATTAGCAGGAACGACATTACAATCGGGAGCAATGTTCTGCTGTTTCCCGACCGCACAAGCATAGTCTGAGGGCGCAGCGAGATTATTACTGGTTAGTTGTTCTGGGATTAGAGTGGGTATGAAGGGCAGAGAAGGATTATGATCATGATGGTAAAAGATGGCATTCGCAGAAGTAGAAGAAGAAGAAGAAGCATTGTTTTCGAAAGCTGAAGGATGATGATGAAGAAAAGGGAAGGAATAAGAGGAGGAGGAGGAAGACGAAGAGAAAGGAAAGCAATAGTTGCTGTAATTATTAGTGGGAGTGAACATCTGAAACAAGATTTGGGGTTAGAAAACCCTAGCTTTTTCCTTCCTTTCTGCAGCAACGAAGGAGGACCACAATAATCACAAAAAGAGATACCCCAGAGAAGGGAATATAAAAACGAAGTAGCCCGCCACTGTATAGTAACTCTCTCTAGCTTCTCCTCCTCTTCCTCTTCCTGTGCCTCCAAGTAACACATAACGCAACCCTTTTTATAGAAAAAAGCCTTTTCCCATAGAAGGGAAACCACTCACAATCCCAGAAAAAGAAACAGTGAGAAAACGAAAGAGAGAGAAAGACAGAGAGAGAGAGAGAGCAGTCACATGGTTATATATTATTCCTTTCACCCGCTAAAGTAACAACTATTTAGGCTCGTTCGTATTTGGTTTCCGTTACCATATTGATTAGCACAAGAGCTGGACCAGATTCCAGTGGTAAGCGTACTGGTCAGTGGTAAAAAAAAATAAAAATAAAAAATAAAAACCCAAAAGTTGAAAGTCAGAGAGAGAGAGGGATAAGAAAGAAGGCGTAAAGAAGATGACAAGAGACACATAATTAGTGGGAGGGTGTGTCTCATTGAGTCGAAGCAGAGCAGAGACTGACGATGAAAATCACATCATTCAACTTTTAAAATCGTTATATTTTTTTGCATATATAACAGACACACGCACGCTGGTGTAGACAGAGAGAGGGGGGGAGAGAGATATATAGATATAGATATATATTAGATAGGGTTAACAGGGTGAAGCTTTTGGCCTCGCTGCTCGGATAGATTCTGACTGACGGAGTTAACAGTTGATGAATAGCATCTTCGTTTTTATCGTTTATGGTAACCTACCGTGTAACGTGAATTTTTCTTAAACCGTTATATCTCATGTCCAAACATGGCATCCTTAGGCCATTATGGTATTTCCCACAATTTAGAACATCCTTTTTGGACCTCCTCGCATGGTTCTGGACCTCTGGCCAAGGGAAAAAAAAAAAGGACCTATCAGCATGGATAAAGAAAGAAATATATTGTTTCTCAGCACAACTTTCCGGCATTTATATATTTGACTTTTATACATAGAGCTAGCTGTGTGATACAATATGTATTTTAAAGTTTCTAAATTGTAAATAAATGTGCTTTTGACTCAATTATATTTGTTTTATTGTTATATTACTATTTACAGATGCATAAAAAAATTCAAATTTGTTTTATTTTTTTCAACATAAAAGAAATACACATACACACTCATGTGTCATATTCGAATTTTAAAAAATTATTACGGTCAGCAATGTTACTACTAAAAACAATTGATTCTTTATTACTAATTATAATATATCGTTATATTAATAAATATATCATTTTGTCATGTCATATGCGTATTGGGATTAATACCAATATTTCCTAGGTGTGGACAATTATCATCTTAGGTGATCGTAAGAATATATAGATAATATATTGCAAATTAGTGGAATTTGGGATATGTCTAGGAAGTTCATATTTGAATGGATTTAAATTTACATGGATGGGTCTTAACTCATTTGGGGCTTATTTGGAATCGTGATAAGAGTCTTCAAAAGCAATTTTCTAATCGTAATTTACAAAATGCACAGTAAGTTTACTACTCCTCCGGTCCTAATTATAAGACCCAATTGACTTATTTGAGGAGATTAAGGAAGTAAGTTAAGTTGGTTATTTATAATAAATAAGTGTTGTCATTCCTAAAATATCCTTGCTAATTAAGTATATTGGCTAAAACTATCATTATTAGAAGGATTATCTTGGAAAAAAATGCATAAATATAAGAGACAAAATGGATTGGGTCTTATAATTAGGACCAAATAAAAAGTCAAATTGGGTCTTATAATAAGGACCGGAGGAGTATTAAAAAAAATTTTATCTCGATTTACGTCAAAATATTTATAAATATTTAAGATAAGTGGATGCAAACAAGCTCTAAGTTCCCTTCCTAGATGCGGTAAGCCCTTGTTTCTCTCATTATGGGGGTAGTGTATATTTTCATTGATCAGTTTCCCTATGTCCTTCTCCGCAACGATGACAGTGGTGGTGAGATCAGGAAGGGGAAGGAGGACTTATGCCAAGATTAGGAGATTGGAAGATCAAAAGGTAATAGAGGAAAGACATAAGGAGAATGCCACATTTAATTAGCTCTTTATAATGATTTTGTTTGTGATTCTGGCTTCTTTTGATATGCTAATTACGGCTAATTCTGCTGGAAAGTCCTGGTGGGATACTTTTGGTTATTGAAAACATGTTGATATGAAATTAATGTTTTTCTATGGTTGTTTGTTGCTGGTCAAATGATGTTTCATGTTTGTTTCGCATGCGTTTATTGATATATGCATAGCTGGCTCTGTTCTATCGTGTGTGGTGATGTTTAGGGGCCCTGCGAAGCCTCTACTGCTATAAGAGAATGTTTAAGGGGTGGGGAATTTATGAGAGCGATCTTCCAACAAATATATCACCACCTTTAAAAAAATTTAAAAAAAAACCACTCATCCAGTTCTAAATATAAGACTCATTTTGTAGTGTATTATACTACAAAATGAGTCTTATATTTAGGACCAAAAAGAGTATTAAATTGCTTTAAGCTATTTGTATGTATAATTTTTTTAATATAATTTGTTTTATCTATAAATTAATATATAATTTAGGTATAAATTTATCTACCGTAGTATTAAAAAAATAAAAGCACCAAGCACTATAATAAAATATTGAGAGTAAAAATACCTATCAACTTTTTAAAACGGGACAAAAATGTCATTTCTATTAACCCTTTGCTTGGATTAAGAAAAAATTGGGGAGGAAAGAAAACTAGAGAGGAAAGCATGGAAAGAAATAAGTTTTTTCTTGTTTGGATAGGAGAGAAAATGTGAGATGAAGGAAAAGTAAGGGAGAAAATAAGATAGGTCCCATGCCTTATTTTTGCTCCAAATTTTCTTTCCATATATGGAGAGATTTGGAAAAGAAAACAAGATTTTCATGATTACCCTTCCTTTCTCTTACTCTCTATATTTATTTTCTTTTATTATAAAAAGTTATTCCTTTTTTATTTTTTATTTTAAAACAATGTTTTTATTAAATAATTTGGTTTTAAAACATAATAATCGGAAAAAAATATATATAAATCAAGTAACTTGATTTTAAATTATTTGATGATGCTAATGTTAATATAATTTTTCTATTACAATATTTAATTTAATTTTAATTATGATATATTTTGTTAAAAACATTTTAGTCATTTAGATATTTACTAATTTTTTCTTCTCTTTATTTTTTTTAATCCATCTAAATAAAAAGGATGATAACAACTTCCTTCTAATTTTTCCTTCTCGCTATTTTCTTCTCTCTCATTTTTTTTATTTTTAGTTTTTCTTCCCACCCAAACGGAAACCTAGTGTTCATCTCACTTCTTTTATGTGGGCCCACCAAACATACACGTGTCAAATACTTTGGCATGGAATCTCTCATCTTGGTCAACTCAACTTCTCGCCCCTATCCTATCTCTATCAAAGCACTACGTGGCAGCTTAGGATGCACCAATATTGGAGACCCAAGCCAACCCTCTCTTCCCCACTGTTCACTCCTCGTCCCCTCGCACGCGGTCACCCACCCCTGCCTTTTCTTTTCATTTCTCTCTCTCCTTACCTCTCTCCTTCGCTTTTTTTCCTTTCTAAAGCTGGACACGCGCTCGTCGAAATCTGGAAGTTATGAACGCCGGCACCGCCATCTTCCACTGCTATCTCAGAACAAACCCCTCAGTCAGCTCACCTGGGATGATTGTTTGATATTTTTTAGAATGATTGTTTCTGGATTGGATTGTATTGTGCTTGATGTTGATGATTTACTCTCATGGTTCTTCAAGTTGAGCCTTCTTTTTCACTGATGAAACTAGTCTGAGTAATAATGGTCAATAATGATGATGATTTCCATGGTTTTCATTCTGTTCTTTGTTGTGATTTCAAATTTTCTAATCTTCTTCTACTCTTATCATTTTAAATATTTGGTTACTTGTGGTTTGTGATTTTTAAGTTTGGATATAAACTATAATTTCAGAAGTATTTTAAAAGTAAATATGTAGAGGAGGTTATTTCGTTGTGATTTGAACCTTGATTTTGATTTTGCCAGCGTTAGGATACTTAAGAACTTGATTGTGTGTGATTTTTTTGGGTTATCTCGATTTGATTAATATTTCTGGTGGAAGCAAGAGGACAAAATGGAAGGGGGTTGATGATGACGGTGATGCTCCGATGACGGTGGGAAAGGCGACGATCGTGGAGGGGAGGAAGCCTCCGCGCCACCATTTTTAGTCAAAAAGTGTATTTTCCCCCGAACGGTTAGTGTATTCAGTTTAATGAGGATAGCCCTATCATCTGCAACATTTTTGTTATTCTAATCTAATCTACATAAATATTTTAAAAAATCACATATTATAATTAAATAATTTAATAATTTTCTTAATATTTTTAAGTTTATATCACATATTATATTAAATAATTTAATAATTTTTTAATATTTAAGTTTATTAATTAAGTCTTATATTAGGTAATACTATGTTTTAGATAGGAACTGGCCAGTGCGAAGTTTCAAAGCATGGAGTTAAATTTTCCTTTCATGATTGATTCCTTCATATTTTAATATTTTTGGTTTTTATATGTTTCAACTTAATCAACAATATGATTTTCGTCTTCTGCCTGATTAAAAAATACCCAGTCTAATTTTAAAAAAAAAAATAAAGCCAAAAATCTTGTAAAATAATGGTGTGAATACTCCTATAGAAGAAGCCACCTAAATTTTAACTAGCGAAAATGACATTTCAGCAAAAAATAATAGGGGTTTAGTTCCATAAAAAGAAAAAAAGAAAGGGGCAAAAATATTTACCAGAAGGGGGAGGCAGGTGGGAAAATGCAGAGAAATACACAGAAGAAGACTGTAGTTGAGGGCCAATAAAAATCACGCGAATCCTAAGCTGCTTGGAGCATTCACTGTAGCACACTGAGATGTGCTGTAGTACTTTTGTCCATCAACAAGTAAATCCTTTCACAATGCCCAATTGCCCAAAGGATTAACATTTTTCATTCAATTTTAATATCTCATTGTTAGAAATATGAATAACAACACATATTTATTTTTTAATTTTATATTTTGCATATAAAAAAAGAG